GGGTGACAAAGCACTGGAACAGGCTGCCCAGAGAGGTTGTGGAGTCTCCTTCTTTGGAGATCTTTAAAACCCACTTGGATGCAGCCCTGTGCCACGTGCTCTAGGTGACCCTGCATGAGCAGGGGGGTTGGACTAGATGACCTCTGAGGTCCCTTCCAACCTTCGGCATTCTATGATTCTATGATTCTATGATCAAAGAGTCCACCAGTCTCAGCCATCAAAGAGTCCACCAGTCTAAGCCATGAGCTGCCAGCTTCTCCAGAAGAAGGCAGTGGCAGACGGTGTCAAAGGACTTAACTGCAGTCTAAGTAGACCATGTCCACAGCCCTTTCCTCATCCACTAGGCAGGTCAGCTGGCCACAGGAGGAGGTCAGGTTGGTGAGGTTCATGAACCCATGTTGGCTGAACTTGATGTCCTAGTTGTTGCACACATGCTCTGCGATCGCCCTCAACACGATCTGCTCCACCTTCCCCAAAACCGAGGTCAGGCTCATGGGCCTGTAGTTCCTCGGATTCCCCCATCCGACCCTTCTTGTAGATGGGCATCACGTTGGTGTCCTGGGTGCCCGCTCACCTGGCGATGGCCATGCCAATGTAGTAGGAGAGCGGCATGATGGAGAGCAGGGCCAGCGTGAACTTCACAGGCGAGCTCGTCAACCGGTTGCGCTCGTCCACGTAGCCCAGCACCAGTGTCACCACCACCAGCGGCAGCAGGTCTGCGGTGGCCATCAAGGAGGCGACCCAAGCAACGGGTGGCGTTTTTGGGGCTCAGTGCCCAACCCAGCACCCCGCTCACCCCCAGGAGGCACCCGGACGCTTTGCAAAGGATACTGACGGCGAAGACGTTGATGCCGTCCACCGTGTACTTGTAGTAGTAGGCGTTGACGGCGCGGTAGCAGCACAGGATGACCTCGGCCTCCAGCGGCACCTCCGTCTGCCGCGCGCGGGGGACAAGCGGGTGACAGTGTCCCCCCAAACGGACCCCGCGTTGGGGTGGGTGCCACCCACCATGCGCAGGCGGCGGACGCACACGCGCTCCGGGGGCAGCAGCAGCACGCGGCGCGCCGTGCGCGCGCTCATCTTGGCCACGGGGATGAAGAAGACGAGGAGCCAGGCGGCGAAGCAGAGCAGCGCGTGGGCCAGCGCCAGCGGCGGGTAGCCCAGGCAGAGCCAGGCGGCCGCCGCCGCCGCGCGCCGCTGCGGGACGGAAAGTGCGGAATTGGGGTGAAAAGTGCGGAATTGGGTGAAAAGTGCGGAATTGGGGCGAAAAGCATGGAATTGGGGTGAAAAGTGCGGAATTGGGGTGAAAAGCATGGAACTGGGGCGGAAAGTGCGGAATTGGGGTGAAAAGCATGGAATTGGGGTGAAAAGTGTGGAATTGGGGTGAAAAGCACAGAATTGGGGCAAAAAGCGTGGAATTGGGGCGGAAAGTGCGGAATTGGGGCGAAAAGCATGGAATTGGGGCGAAAAGCATGGAATTGGGGTGAAAAGCGTGGAATTGGGGCAAAAAGTGACATTGGGGCGGAAAGTGCGGAATTGGGGTGAAAAGCATGGAATTGGGGCAAAAAGCATGGAATTGGGGTGAAAACTGCAGAATTAGGGCAAAAAGCACAGAATTGGGGTGAAAAGTGCAGAATTGGGGCAAAAAGCATGGAATTGGGGCAAAAAGTGCAGAATTGGGGTGAAAAGTGCAGAACTGGGGCAAAAAGTGTGAAATTGGGGCAAAAAGTACAGAATTGGGGTGAAAAGCGTGGAATTGGGGTGAAAAGTGCGGAATTGGGGTGAAAAGCGCAGAATTGGGGTGAAAAGCACAGAATTGGGGTGCAAAGCGCGGAATTGGGGCAAAAAGCATAGAATTGGGGTGAAAAGTGCAGAATTGGGGCAAAAAGCGCAGGACTGGGGTGGAAAGCGCAGAACTGGGGTGGAAAGCGCGGAATGGGAGCAGTGGAGCGGGGCGGGCGCTCACCCGGGAGCCGGGCGCCGGCGGGCGCCAGCGGGCGGGCGCGGGGCCGCCGAGCAGCGCCGAAGTCTCCCGGGCGCCCGCGGCCGCGGCGGGGGCGTCAGGGCCCCCCGCGCCCCCCGCGGGACCCCCCGCTTCCTCCAGCCGCTGGATCACTTTGCCGAAGGGCCAGAGGAAGTAGCCGGCCAGGTCCCAGCAGAGCCGCCCTGTGGGGACAGCGGAGACGTGGGGCGCACGGGGGGGGCCCGTCCTGGGACCCCCCAGCTGGGACGCCCTGCAGGACTCACCATAGGGAGCCCCAACCACGGTGAGGAACATCACGGCGGCCACCACGACGTAGAGCAGTGCCAGCCACCAGCCGAAGAGCAGCACGTAGAGCACGTTGCCACACGTCACCGTGGAGCCTGCGAGGGGGGACGGGTCCCCGTGGCCACGCGCTCCTCCAACAGCCCTTTTCTCCCCCAAAAACACATTCGGGGCTTCCCCGAGGACAATGACGCTTGCTCATGGAGGTGGCCATGTGCCACCAGCACAAGAGGTTCTAGCAGATGCCCCGTCCTCCACAATGGTCCCCACCAGCTCATGAGGTTCAAGTAGACGTCCTTGTCCTTCACAATGGTCCCCACCAACACATGAGGTTCAAGCAGATGTCCCCATCCTCCACGACGGTCCCCACCAACACATGAGGTTCAAGGAGATGCCCCCATCCTCTGTGATGGTCCCCACCAGCACAAGAGGTTCAAGCAGACATCCCGTCCTCCACACCCGTCCCCACCTGCGGAGCCCTTGATGACATTGAGGTCGGAGTAGAGCTCCTTCACGATCTCGGAGCGGTCCTCCCATGGCCGCTCCGTCACGTGGCTCTTCCACTTCTTGAAGCCAAACTGCAAGGGGGCAATGTCACCTGGACGCCAGCCCGGTGCCACCGTACAGAGGGGACAAGCCGGGGCAGGGCCGCCCCTCGTGCCCGTGACCGTGTCCTCCACGGCAAGGAGGTCCCACCTTGTAGTTGTTGGAGAGCTTGTTGGCCTCCACGGCGTTCTCGGCCGTCAGGGTGGTCTTGCCCGGGCAGCTCTCGCACAGCGGCCCCTCGTCCGAGTGCTGCGGGCAGGCGATGCCTGCGGCGAGTGGGACCCCCGGCTGGGATGGAGCCACCGGAGCAGCCACAGGAACCCACCCCAGCCTGGGATGGAGCCCCTGGAGCAGACATAGGGACCCCCATTCCAGCCTGGAATGGAGCCACCAGAGCAGGCAAGGGACTCCCTGGCCCAGGATGGAGCCACCAGAGAAGCCATGGGACCCCCTGGCGTGGGATGGAGCCACTGGAGCAGCTGTGGGACCCCCAGCCTGGGATTGGACCCTCGGAACAGCTGCAAGGACCCCCCTGCCCCGGGATGGAGCCCCCGGAGCAGCCATGGGACCCTCCCTGCCCCAGGATGGAGCCACCGGAGCAGGCGCAGGGAACCCCCTGTCCCGGGATGGAGCCACTGGAGCGGCTGCAGGGACCCCCCTGCCCTAGCCCGGGATGGAGCCCCCGGAGCGGCCGCAGGGACCCCCCGCCCCGGCCCCGGCCGGAGCCCCCGCAGCCCCCGTACCGGGCAGGACGCGGGGGGCCGCGAGGCCGTGGGGCAGGTGGGAGCCCGAGGGCAGCTCGCCCAGGTCGCCGTGCGCGTTGTTGATGGCGGCGCAGCGGCGGTCGCAGAGGGAGCCGCGCCGCGGCCCCCCGGCCTCCGGCTCCATGGGGGAGTCTGCGGACACCCCCGACCCGTATCACAGCACTCGGTGCAGGAAATATGCCCCCCCCCCGGGAAGCCCATCCCGTGCAGAATCCAGGGAGAGGCTCCCGCCGGAGCAGGGCTTGGGAACACCCGCTGTGCAGCACCCAGGAGAGACCCCACAGCACAACCCACCCCCAGTGCAATGACCAGGACCCCCCCACCATTGCAGCACCCCCAGTGCAACCCCCAGGAGGGCCCCCTCAACTGTAACCCCCTCGTGCAATGACCAGGACCCCCCCTCCATTGCAGCACCCCAGTGCACCCCCGGGAGGGCCCCCCACTGTAACCCCCTCGTGCAATGACCAGGACCCCCCCTCCCCATTGCAACACCCCCACTGCAACCCCCGGGAGGGTCCCCCCCCCACTGCAACCCCCTCCTCCCCATGCAATAACCGGGAGGGCTCTCCCGGTGCAACCCACCCGTGCAACACCTGGGAACAACCCCCAACCCCCCCGGAATGCAACCCCCCCCCCGGTGCAATAACCGGGACCCCCCCCTCCCCGTGCAACCCCCCCGGTGCAATAGCCGGGAGCCCCGCGCTGCAAACCCGCGCCCCCCCTCTCCATGCAGCACCCTGGGGCCCCCCCGGTGCAACCCCCCCCCCAGTGTCCCCCCGTCCCGCACCCAGCGTGTCCCGCGGCGGCGGCGCTCGCTGCCCACGGGGGCGGCACCGGGGAGGGCGGGAGCCTTGGGGGGGGGGTGGGACAACGGGACCCCCCCGCCCACGGGACAGGCCGGAGGCGGCGGGAACAGAAGGGTTTTGCCCTTAAATGTGGCTCTTCCTAAGAAATTACTCCTGAAATTATTATTATATTATCTAAATATTAATCCTGAAATTAATTTCCTAAGAAATTAATCCTCAAGATTAATCCTGACCTCGCCAAGGGGCAAGGGCTGAAAAGCCCTTGGGGGGGCAAAAAGGGGGGTCAAAAAGGCCCTTCTGGGGGTGGTTGGGTGGAGACCAGGAACCTGGGGCTCTTGGGGGCTGTCCCCACACAAGGGACTCGGCCCTGGTCTCAGACAAAGCCAGGCAGAAAGGGGGCTCTGAGAAATAACTCCAAAATACATTAAAAAACAAAGGCACCACTCACCTTTTTTAAAAACATTTTAATATTTTAAGACACTCACAGTTGAAGGGGAGGGTTGTGGGATTTTTCCCTTAAAAAAGCCAAAACTTTTATAAATATAGACTGAAAACAGCAAGTCATGCTGTTTTCCCTGTATAGTTACAGTGGAGACACCTGAAACACCCAGTGAGGCCACAAAATCCAGTTCTTCCAATGAGTCATTAAATTAACCCAATTTGGGGTAAACTTCCAGAGAGGTCGAACCAGGCACCAAGGCAGTAACTCCCTGGACCTTGTGTTGGGGGATCTGCAGGTGCCCCCAGAGAGCTGGAGGCAGGGGGAGCAAAACTGGGGTGCATTAAGGTGAGAAACCAGAGAGAAAAACATGCCTAGATTCCTATTTCAATGTGTTTTAACAGTGAAAAAGTGGAACAGTGGAAAAAAAAGAACAGTGGAAAAAACAGTGGAACATTTTAAACGGTATTTACCTAAAAAAAAAGACTGTACAGGAATTTACAAACATTTCTCCTCTGTCCATAAAGCAGAGATTAAATTATCCTGTTTCACAGTCTATGTTCAAGGTAACGGGGGTAACGCTGCTGTTCAGGGCGCCTGGTCCGAGCAGGGGGATCCTCCCTCTGTGGAGTCGTCGTCACTCGCCAAAAATCCACAGCACGTTGACGCCGGAGACGCCGAGGTTGACGCGCCTGCAAAAACGTCACTGGAGTCACCAACCACCGGCAAGTGGCAGCTTTTTTACATCTTTGGTACAGGAAAACTGGCCCAAGAGCAAAGGAAAACTCCAAACGTTTCCCACGTGCTCTGACCTGGTTCTGCGAAATGGGTTTTGTTAGATAAAATGCAAAGAGGGGTTAATTCTGTCCCAGTTGTCCCACTACAGCAGCGTCCTGGTGTATGAGCACTGAAAGCTGCTGTCAGCTCTGGTGGGTGACACAAAGGGACGCAGCAGGTGACACTTACCCGAGCATGCCCGATTCTTTGGTCTTTATAATGTACAGGAACATGAGCAGGGTGTGGAACATGTTGTTTCTGCCCTAAAACCAGAGGGAAGAGAAAAGAACTTGGCATTGAGACCATGGATGAGCAGCCACACCAGTATCTTAGAGGAAAGGTCTTATTTAAACCCATGTCCTGCTTGTAGCTGAGCTAGAGCTGTGCATTATTCCCTTTAAATCTTCTTTTAAGATACATAGACACTTCAGTGTGCACCATGATGGCCCATTAAATAATCTGAGATGAGAAAAAAATATAATAGACATCTCATGGAATGGTATTACAGCGTGGGAGTTGGCCTCAATACTTACCTCTCAATTAGCTAAATAGCAGAAAAATCTAATTTTCTTGGGTGGATTATCACCCTCAAATACTTAGGATTTTTACAGCATTTTTTTTCTGAAATCACAGATCAAAATCACAACCAAGGGTCCAAAAGAAAAGTTAAAACATGCAGGAAAAATGTAGTATTTTGGTATTGAGACTAGATGGTTCCCTCTACAAGCTCCTATAGGCATCAGGCTTGTTGGCATTCAGGAATAACAGCCCACACCACAGCTTATATAAATGAGGATTTTAGAATAAATCACGAGAAAATTCACAAGAAGCTACTTTCTGCACTGAGGCAGCTAATTATTAAAAATATGGGTATAATATGGGTATAATATGGGTATAATATGGGTATAATATGGGTATAATATGGGTATAATATGGGTATAATATGGGTA